CCAAATTAAAGTGTCCCATCCTCAACAACTGTTGTTTGCGCCTTGCCTTCCACCTGTTCCGAAGAAGGGACTCTCACTGCAAACAGATCAAGTGAAGACGCGGCCTGGGTGCGTTTAGAGGGATCAGATTGTAGTCAAACGAGTTGGGTTAATCCGTTAATCCGCGGGTAGTTTACTCGCAGGGGTTTTTCTTTTTAATGGGCTTCTCAAACTCGTTTTTAGCTCGTCAGACTTTAATAAAGCTCTTTAAAGCGCCAGCGGTTTGATTGGGTGTAATCTGCGCGATGTCAATCCCATCTCCGAGCGTGTTTCTTTTTTGTTGTTGTTTTTTTTTTCTGGGCTTCTTTTACCAAACGTGTTTCCAAATGCGGCTTTCAGGTGTGTCTCATTTGCGCAAGTAGGAATTTTCCGCACAATCGTGTCTGGTTTATGGTCGGCCATGTCTGACAGATGGGTTGGAGCTCTGCTGCGGTCCCGTCACCACACACAGCATCCATATGCTGACTGTAAACCCAAGCTGCTATTTGTCTGTTTATGACCCCGCCACCCCCTCCTCTTGCGCCCGAACGTTGCCGCTGCGGCCGGGGTGCCTGTCAGACCCCTCGTCTGGCCAACGGTCCCCCCCTGCCAAAGAGCGAATCAGAATTTGAGCGCCATATTGTCTCGTACACGTTGGATCCGTCTGCTACCGTTTACTCGTAATCCCACAACGAACGCGATGCGCTTTGGCTTCTGTTTCAGCGGTCGTGTGATGCAATTTATCAGGTGGCAACTTGATTGACAGAAAAAAAAATGGTGGAAAAGTCAATGGGCTCTTTTTAAGAACTTTCCAGAGACTTGGCCTTTCGCACTTGGATGAGTGAAACGGCATCAATCATTTGGTCAATAAATCTGCCGGCCGCAAATAAATTCTGATCAAGGCACAAACGAGCAACGGCCATTCCAGAGAGAATGGGAAAGTGAATGGCTCGTCCAATATAAATAGGTAAGGACTCCACACAAATCCCGAGATGCGCTGGTCTTCACTGGAAATTTGAAGAAATCTTTGGCCTCTGTGAATGACTAACACACCCATTTAGACACGTGTGTGTCATCACACACACGTGTCACTTGGACTCATGGTCATTCCAATTATTGCTTCCAGCACCCAAGCTATTTCAAGACTTTTTTGCCTTTTAAAAGTCTTTCTTTTCATAGGCTGAAAACCAGAAATAATCCCAACTCCAACCTCCCGCGGCCCCCACCAAAAAAGCTTTGGTTTGCCTGGGGTGAAAAATTTGCCCCGGCGGGAGTTGAGTTCATTGCGATACAATGATTTGGAGGACCCCGTTGTCTTTCACTTCATCAGAGACAATTGAGTCATTCAGCTTCCGTTGTGGGGCCGGCTGGGGGTGACGAGAAAGGGTGGCCTTGGAAGGGGGGTGGGGGGTTTGCAAAGGGGAGAGAGGAGCAATCTGGGTGGTTCTTACCATGTGGGGGGTTGTTTGAGGAGGGGCGGGAGTGCAGGAAGAGAGACAAGCGGAGACGAGAGAGTTATCCTGGAACTCTGCAGCAATTTGTCACTTTGGAATGGCTCTTGAGTTACCCAGGAGGCCCCCCTCATAGCGGGAGAGTTTTCAGGTTGCGGCGTAGGGGGCGGGGGCAGCCGGCGGGGGCTTGGGAGCCGCAGAGACGGGTCAGAGGTTGCGGCCTACTCAAGCCCAGGCAGTGTGTCCGTTGATGGAGGGAGAGAGCGAGGGGGAAAGGGGGGAGGGGGCGTTGGTCGGAAAAGCCGGCGCTTGCCAGGGCTCCGTTTTCCTTGGCATGCATGTAAAAGCTGCAGGAGAGATTAGTGAGCGAGGACATTTGCAATCGGCGAGCTAAAGTGGGGCCACTTGTTTGGACGTGCGCTCCGAAATCAACCCAGTGCCACTCTCGGGAGGGTGTCACCTTCACCCTCCCTCAGAATGTCCTCATGCTACAGCTGCGTTGACATATTTGCGAGCATGTGCGCACATGCGCCGACGGGACATTCCAACGGTCGGCTTTGCAGTTTGCCCCTCCGCTGCGGCGGCGCTGGCCTCGCCGGCCTCGCTGGCTCATCTCCCGCACTCATCTTGAATTACCGCATAGATGACAGCAGCGGCTCCACAGACATACAGCACATGCGTAGACTCCTCATTGGCTCGTTGCTGCAGTCCGCCGGCACCTCCGCCAAATTGAAAATGTCAGATCTTCCCCGGAAACGAATGCAAGTCGAGTGAACGGCGTTCATCGCAGGGGATTCGTTCGTGGCCCGCGCAAGCGCTATAATCCAAACTCTGCAGTATTGAAAGACAATATGACTTGACTAAAATGCATTTTTTTAAAAAACACATTGCACAAAATAATTAATAATTCATGTGATTTTATGTTTTCATGAGTGTTTACAGCTATCAGTGTATGTAACGTTGTTCCTGTAATGATGCATATTGAACTCATGATTGATATCAACCTAATAATTTATAGAGGCTTATAGCTTGGAGGCTGGCTTCAATACTCTGCAAATGTGGCACTTGATAAGAATTAGGCACCAAGTCGTGCAATTCTGTTTGCAAAATGACATTGTCATGGCCAAATACAGTCATGACGTTGTTCCGTGACAGGTAATCCCCAAGAGAAATTGGCTTTGTCAAATCGTTGATACATCCTCAGTCAGCAAATTATGGACGCGTGTTCTCCGAGCGCGCCACTTTGACACATCCAACATGGCGGCGACATTGCATACGTGTCGGCTCCGTCACTTCCTTCCATCCGCTCCCCATTATTCTCCACTGGCCCCGCCGTGACAATTAATTACCAGCGTGTAGGGGGTCCATAAATCCTCGACAGACCTCAACGCAGGTTTTTACAACAGTTCATTCCTCCCCTCCTCATACACACACACACATACAAACAAGCATAAACGAAGACAGCTTTCCAGCACTAAAATCTGTCTTGTGGTCATAAATGAGTAGTGAAGAAACACCAGGCAACAGTCCCCCCACACACACACACACACACACACACACCCTCCTTTGCAGGGGTTGTAACCGTGGCCATGGAGTCAATAACTCCCTCCAGCCTCGACCACTGGCAGGCACCCCACGGTGAACTCTGCGCTAATTACCACTGATTTAGACACAGTCTCAGGAAGGGTCGTGACACACTCTCTCCGACCAGAGCTGACTCAAACACACACACACACACACACACACACACACACACACACACACACACACACACACACACAGACACGCATACAAACTAGCGGGCACTCCTGCTGGATGGCAACCCAAAAGATACTTCATCTGACCTTGCACTTGTACGGCAACGTACACAAAAAAGGTCAGCATTAAAAATAAACAAAGACCTTTTTTATACAGAACGTCAGTCTGACACCATCTCGACCTCAAGCAAACTTCTCCATGCGGATGCCTTGATGGTGGGAATGTACAATATTATTCCTTGGACAAAAAAAGGCAGTGTGCTCAAAGGAACAAAAAGGTCCTTCTTCTAGAATACGCTGTCTATCGCCCATATCAAGATTTCAATAGGAGACATTAAAGTCAATTTCCCGTGGGTAATTTAAGTTGAATTGATTTGCGTGTGAAAAGTCGCCCAAATTTGGTCGGCATGTCACCCAAAAAAAAAAAAAAAAAATGATAAACCAATCCGTAAAAAGAACCCGCCATTTTGTTTTGAAGCAGCCATTTTAGGGTCTTTTGGGCCCATTTCGAGGGCCCTTCAAAGAAATCTTATTTGAACTACTCATACAAGGCGCCGATGTCGGGCAGAATCGTGCAAAACTGTCAATTTTCAGTGGGGGGGGGGGGACCCGAAATTTATACCAGACATCTTTTTGCCTGATTGTCAGCATATTTGAAGCACGTTTCCAGGTCGTTGTGTCATGTGGTTGCAGTTAGGTTGACATTTTAAGGTTCAGGTGAATTGCGGTGGAACACACACACACACACACATAAAAAAAAAAAAAAAATTAAAAAAAAGTGATTTGCGAGGAAAGGAAAAGTCTCCAGGAATCGTCTTGCTGGGAAAAACTATGACATGCCAGAATCGTCCGTCCAGTGTGTCATCCCATTCTGACAAACGTTTCACATGACCCTTGTTTCTGCTTATCTGTGCGCGAACGTGTGACGCGGCGAGGCAAGCGAGCGAGAGCGAAAGGCTTTGAGTGAAACGTCTGATATGGGCCGAGTCAATCATTTATGCGAGCCGTCAGGAGGTCTAGCCTGCTGAGACGCCACGCTCGGACCTTTTTATGGCTGTCAATAAAAGACTCTCAACAGTCCCATTTATGACATGAGGTCACCGCCGAGCCACGAACTGCGTGGCGCTCGTGGAACCTCCACCTTGTCCGGCTTTAATTGAGGTTAAAATGTACATAATGCAGAAAATGACAGAATATTTGGAATGGGTGAAGTAGGGGGGTGTCCCCATCCGATATTGATTACAAAAACTGTATCGGACTTAGTGAGAAGAATTAAAACTCAAGACGAATGTTTGTGAGCTCTTTTTCGAACAGACGCACGAGCTACGCATGTTGTCCTCGGGGCTAACTAATAGCCACTGGACATCATTTTTATTTACATTTTTTGGCGGATAATTCACATTCATCACCAGAGCAAAAAGTCATCCATGTTTGCAGAGTGATTCTTTCGTTTTGCTCCCTCCCCTCCCCTCCCCTCTCTGCTCGCCGGGAAGGAGAGAGGGGGGGTGGGGGGAAGTTGATTGAAGACAATTCACCTCAAAGAGGCGGCTCGTCGCATCACACACACACACACACAAATAAAAAAAAAGTCTCGGCACTGGCCGAGTGTGAAATCAAGCGTACCATCCATCCACCGTCCATCTTTTTGAGTTTTGCACGGCCATCGAAAGAAATGTCCGTTGTTCTCGTCTGACTTTACGTTGTTCTCATTTGCTTTCTGCATTAACATGTTTTGTTCCCTTTCTTTCCATTCTGTTTCCTTTCTGCCATTCAGTACCTACAGATGAAATGGCCCCTGCTAGATGTTCAACCGGGAGGTCTTCAGAGTAGACAAGCACTTAAAGATGCCAGGTCCCCGTCACCGGCACACATCGTTGTAAGTAGCAACTGCTCCCCCCCCCACCCCCTTTCCTCTCCAAAGCCAAATGCAGCCTCTTCTCCCCTCACCGACAGAGTTAATAAACAAATGCCTGCGTTTGTTTGCCCGTTTTGACTCCATTGGCGAGGCGCTAACCTTTGGGAGCGCGGCAGGTGCAAGCATTTCGATAGCTTACTCGGGAATGACGTAACGCCGAGTGTGGGCGGTTGTCCAACATTGATTATACTACCCCGCGGAGATGCAGGACAGAAAACTCTGGCGGTTGCCGGCGAGAACGAGAGAAGCCGGCCGGGCCCGAGCATCCGTCCACCGCGGGCATGTCGATACCGAAGGAGGCAGCCGGTCGCACTTCCAGCCTCGTTGTTTAGTTTGCGCTCAGAGGCGGAAAGTTTTTCCAGAGGTCGGTAGCAAGGTTGAGTGTGAGGATGAGGTGGCGGTGGTCGCCGGGGTCAGCGAGGAGGGAAAATCAATGAGAGTGGGGTTGCTGGCAAATTAGCAACCTTAAGTTTTTGTGTTTTGAGATGGAGAATTTGTGAAAGTGCTCCGGCAGTCGTTGGAGCGGCAGTGGGCAAAATGAAATATGTTCACTTGAAGAACAGAATTTATTCTCATTTTATTGTTTGGAATTGCCTCTGGATTGGCAGGCCAGGGTAGGTGGTGGTCCGTCCCTCTTTTTAAGAAGGGGGGCCGGAGGGTTCACACTCCTCATCCTCCCTGGTAAGGTCGATTCAGACGACGAAGTGTTATTGCGAATAAAAAAAAAAAAACAAACCGGCTGGAGTCGCTCCTTGCGCTGAATGCTGGTGTTATTTTTAAACCCGCCAGTTCAGCGGGTCCCCTCTTTTTTTTTTTATTATATCTTGCGCTGTTATTTCAGGACTCGCTGAAAACGAGTCCTTAAAGCGGTGGTAGGCAGGTAAATACTCCCGCTTTTTATTTTTCTTGAAAATGACTCATCCGGCTTGAAATGCCTACGGGGCCTTGCTTCCAACTTCCATGAGCGCTTTTTATGACTCCTTTTAAACGGAGTTCGGGAACAAAGTTTATTGCTTGGCGTTGCAACCTTTGTGCACTAACAAAGCAGCATCTGACATCATTGCGGCTGTGATTATTGTTTCTCTTTAAAACAGTCCGAAGTGCAAAACAAAAGACAGAAGTGCTTTACAACTCGAAAGTGGCGTTTGGCTACATGGGGAAATGAACACGTTTCGCCGTTTTTGTCATTTTGACAATCTCTGCTGTGCTCAGATCTCGCATTGCCGCCAGCGGCATGTTGAGTTGGACGCTGACGCTGCTGCGTCACGCCAAAGCACAAATCGACACGCACGCAGCTCATTGTTGCAGCCTGCTGTCGCCGTTGTTCTTCTTCCTCACATCGTGGCTGAGTGTGAATCAACAGCGCCTCTAATGGTTGCAGACAAATACTGCACTCTATATTTCAACAATTTATCCCCTGGAGGAAATTCAATTATCACAGCTGCAATGTTTACATAAACACTTGTATTAATAGTACATTAATGGTGGACCCCTGCATATTTGCAATGTATTTTTTTTGGGGGGGGGGGGTGAACTGATTGGCTGGCAACCAGTTCAGGGTGTCCTACGCCGACTGCCCGGAGTCAGCTGGGAAGGGCTCCAGCACGTCCGCAACCCTCGTCAGGACAAAGCGCTGCAAATAGTAGATGGAAGGATGGCTAATTTATACAGGCTGTGCTCATCACTTTTGGGCAAAGCTCGCCATTTGTGGTTTGTCGCTATTTGCAGGATTTGCTGTTTGTGGATTTTCGCTCTCCATGAGTTTTTACTGTTTGTGGATTTTCACCATTTGCAGATATTTTGGCACTACTCTATCGTGATGGTGTCTAATTCCTCAATTGCTTGAGAATACTACAAGTCCGCAGGTTGCGATCAGTGAATCAAATACAAGTCAGTGTATTGCCATGGCAAAACACTTTGTATGAAATTATTTTCAGTGTATTTCGCTCCTGTAGCTAAGTTCATGAAGTTTTGTGCGTCCACTTCTGAAGGTGTCTTTGTTGGGTCAAGAAAAACTCTTGAACTTGATGATAAATAACTCAGTAGGTTTCTTTCCCCCGCACCCCATTTATTTTATTTTTTTTCCTCGTTCTTTTCCCCTTCAGCACACAGGACGCAAAGCTCCGGGGCATTGCGGCATCACGCGCACACACATACACACAAGTTGCCGTTGCTGCGCGTGATGAAATTGAACGTGAAACGCAGCTTGTATTGTTGGCGCTCCTTCTTTTTCTCCTGCTCTGCTATCAACCTCTTGACTGCGAAGGAGGTGCAATTGAATGTTTCCTTGGTTTGCATCATACCAACTGCGTTGCATCTGGAAAAGAGAAGAGCAAAAAAAAAGGGAGGGGGCTGATTCCTGTGGACTGCGTTCATTGTCGATCCCGCCACCCCCCGCCCGTGTCACTCAATCAATCTTCTGACCGCAAGCCGGCCTCGTCGTTCCAGCACCGCGATTCCCCTTATCACTAAGCGCTGTCAACAGTGGTTTCCTTTTTTTTTTGTTTGCAAATGAGAGGAAATCACTCCCGACACCTTGACCTGGCCCCGCCCGCAGCACTTGTATCAGGGCTGCTCCCGCCGCGATAAGACGCCGCCGCCGATTGGTCAGCGAGATAAGAGCTGCCGGTTTGAGTGTTGCTAACAAGCGGCCAAATGGCCAGGGGCCATCCAGGCGAAGAATCGAAACCACTGCAAATTAAACCTATTACGATATGGACACGCGTTTCGGGTTTGGCAAATTGGCAAATGTAGCTTGTAGACACTTTGCCACAACTGTTGATGTTTTCATTCCAAGAAAATCGCAGCTCGGCAGGGAAAAGGGCGGAATAAAACACTTGTTGCTTTGTCACCTCTCGCTGCTGTATTGATAGTTTTTCATTTCTTTTTCGGGATGTGAAATATCAACAAGTGCAGAAGCGGCAACAGAAATAGTTCATCTTTTATTATAGAAAAGTGCCACATTAACAGTTTGTCTTCTTTTTAGAAACAGAAGTAATACCATGACATCATTTGTTGGTTCCAGGAAAGTGGGCGTAGGTAGAAGCAGCTCACAATCTGATTGGTTGTTTTTCTTAATTTGCCACTCTCGGAATTGGGGCAGGAGTACGAACGCACGCACTCGCGCGCGCTCACAGCATCAACGTCTAGCGGGCAACAATGCCGCCATTGTTTCGCCGGCTTTCACTGGCAGCAGGGGCCGGCTGGAGCGTTAACCATTTCCCGACTGTGCTTCGACGAGCGCGTCATTGTGTCGTCGAGGCTGTGAAGGGAAAGCGTCCCGGGGACCAGGAAATGGGGTGGGCGGAGAGGGCCCTTGCCGCGCCGCAACCCCCATCCCACCCCTCACCTTGTGTGATAATTAGCGAAGAGGAAGTGATGGAATCTGGACATTTTTACGGCTAGCGGGACCCCTCCAAGCGTTTTAGCGCTCTTAACTTTAACATTAGGAGCACGTTGAACTCTTGAGTGGCGCTGGATGGTCACGTGACTGCTCCACGAGGTCAGCGAGTGAATAGCCAGTCACCGGATCAAATTCACCTTTCTTTGTCACTTCTCTCTCCACTCGGGTACAAGGGGGGCTTCCTGTGGTCTGAATGGGCCGTGCACCTGGACTGTCGGAACATTTACTCAGGACTGAGGGGGAGGCCTGGCGGGATTTTCTTATGAATGAATGACCCCCGTGGTCAGCAGACACCACCCACGCACCGAGCTTAGGACCTCACCGAGACCACGCACGCGTTGATGCCTATCTGTTCCACGTCGTCCTCCGCAGACGTTTGCTTAAGGGATCACGGAAGGGGGGCTGAGAGCGGCGTACGTCATCAGGCGCCCTATCGGGCCTGATGTTGTTGTCTGGACGCAGACAATCCACTCACAGTGTTGACTTTGTCAGCAAGACAACAATGACTCAAAGAGTCACGCTGATCCTTTCAATTGAGGACCCGTTTCTAGGAGGTCCCCTTCCGAAAAACATTGTCAGAATAATTTCTTCTCTGAGCAGCTGTGATGTCATTTTCAGTCGACAGGAAGTGGCAAAATGGCTGCTCCCTGACATGGACAAAAAAAAAAAAAAACGGCTGGATTTTACTGCCTAATTTCTATTCTACATACGTGTATCAGTCAGCATATGCCGTGTTCAGAGCAGTGGGGCTGCATGGAACCTATTCTTGTAAATATTTTCTTCTCTGAGCAGCTGTGATGTCATTTTCAGTCAACAGGAAGTGGCAAAATGGCCGCTCCCTGACATGGACAAAAAAAAAAAAACGGCTGCATTTTACTGCCTAATTTCTATTCCACGTACATGAGATCAGTCCGCATATGCCGTGTTCAGAGCAGTGTCGCTGCATGGAACCTATTCTTGTAAATACCATTTTTTTGGCTTGACGCTCCCTTTAAGAGTGAGCCAGAGAGAGAGAGAGAGAGGGACAGAGAACTTTGCCAAGAAAACCCAACCTAACCTTTGGTGTACTGACCAACTCCGGTGCCTGAAAGCAATCCGACAAGTTGCTTTCTCGGCGCTGAGATCACTGGCTTCTATTTGCACTTGCACTTAACCCCCCCGAGGGCCGGCTGAGATAGCTCGCGCCAACAGCTGCACGCTCAACAACACGTACAAAGATGTGATCGGCTGTGCTGCTCTTTTGCGGATGTCCCGAGGTAGCCCAATGTTGCATATGCACACTGAGCAAATGAATTAAAAAAAAAAAAAAAAGAGGCAGGATGTGGGTCCACACCTACTAATAAATTATTTTGTATTAATTTGAATAGATTTTGGAGGATTCACGGTTACTTTGATTTCTTACTTCTTCGTTTTTATTTTGGCCCGTGCAACTTTGGGAGATTTACGGTCGTCCGATTTTTCAGGATTTGAAGGTAGTATGCAAATTTCTCCATTGTGAGACTCTGACATTTGATCTTATTTAAATCTGCAAATTTTTTGGGGTGCATTTTTTTTTTAATTGGACTATTCTTTCCCCCCAACAAATTCCGGCGGTGCCGCTGAATCCCGGCCTCTTTTTTTTTCTTCTCAAAAAGCAAGCAAAATGTCCGGAATGTACTCAAAAATGTAATATTGTTCGAACAAGGAGCCAGCCGGTACAGACAGCGACGTAACCAGAAACGAGCGCCGTCTTTCTGCTGGTTTCTGACAGTAAAAGCTCTAATAACCGACTCCGACATGCACCCCGGAGGAGGCCGAGTCCGGAGAGACGAGCTCGTCGTTTGAATAAGTCAGAAAATAAGGGAGTGTGGGATTTTCGAAGGAGAACGCCTTGCTTTTGCATAAATCCCGGTCCGCTTTGTGTGTGCGTGCGTGCGTGCGCGTGTCTGTGAAGAGCTCATATAATTGTGTGACTTGGGACCGTCCATCTTTGCCTTTCAGGGGCCCTTCTGCTGGGAATTCCCTGGACAGTCAGATCTGAGCCTTCACCAATTTCATTTGGTGAGAGACCTTTGAATTCCCCCAAGATATCATGCTAGACTTTTATGGATTTGTTTTTATTCCACACCACCAAAATTAACCCTTGCTAATTGTTGATTTGAAAGAAAAAAAAAAGATACCTTGGGATCATGGTGATGATGATGATGATGCTGTTAATCCCGCTTTGATTCTGCTTGTTGCTCAGTCAGTTGCTGCTGCTTTCTTGTCGCTATGTTGCTTCTTGGGCTTTTTGAGCTTTTTTTCCCCCATAACCAAACTAAGTCTGATATTTTCTCTTTCTGTATGTTTGCCCTGCCCCCCCTCATGCTTTTTTTTGTCTCATCCTTAACATTCCTTGGTGATCCAGCTGATGCGTTTCAATTGTGCAACCCCCCACCCTCCCAATAAGTAACACTTGGCGTGTGTTTTTAGAACACACCTGCGAAAATCCTTTCGGCAACATAACCCCCCGCCCGTAATTTTATACTCCTCTGAAATCAGCCTGTTTTGAGGAGGCGGTATCGTTACATGCAAATGAGCCACCGCATGCTTAGTTAGCCTTTTCATGAACATGACGACGAGATACTTGTTGAACTCCGAGCCCGAGCCTGTTTAAAAATAAATAAATACGTGCACGCATGTCCGCATATGGAAAACCAAAGCTTGGATTGTATTTTTACTTGCGACACTCGGTCACCAATCTGCCAAAATATAGATGGACAGATAGATGCTTAATGCACCATAGCCCCTCTGAAAAATTGATGATATACAAGGCTCTGTTTGTCATTCCACTGCTTGACAAGCACAAGCTGGGCGAGACCCTCCTTCACGCCCACCTGTTGCATAATGGACTTGTCAAATAGATTTGTCGGTGGCGATAAACTGTTGGATTCCAGCTGATGAATCAACAACAATGAAGGAGTTAGGACACCAAAGATCCCCGTCCGTGTTTTATCTCAAAGTTGGAGTACTTCAGATCAATCCCGGAGGGGTTGAGTCGGGACTTCCTCCTGGGATCATTTGGCTCGTCGCGGCCTTGCTGACTTGCCGAGCCCTTCAAGGCACAAAGCGCGCCTGATTGTGCCAACGAGACGAGCCAAACACAAAGGGAAACGGTGCTGTTTTTCCGCGTGTCACCTCGGCCGCCTTTGGCTCTCATGCGATGCGTCTTTGCTAGAACTTGTTTGACGAGGTCTGGCAGGATCGCGTTTGGGTGTGCCCGCTCGTCTGTCTCGCGTGTATGCATCGGTGTCACACAAACACACTTTTTCACGGCCCGCCGTGGAAAGGCGTGACCGGAGTTTCAGATGACAGCTCGTCAGACGCAGGTCGAGTCGCAGGCGTCACTTGTCACGGCCTACAACAACTTGAACTCGTTTAACCCCCTCCGGCGGTGTTAAGTAGGCGTTGGAAAAATGCGGTAATCACAGTTTACTCGCAGCTTTTACGTCAATAATTAGGGTCAAAGAGGCATCAATAATCCAATGTATTGTTGACGAACTGTACGGCAGACTTTTTTTTTTTTTGCGGACCCCTCAGTCCCCCCCCCCCCCCCTCTCCGATGTTTCACAAGTCTGCTGTATTCCAAACTTGAGCCGCCTGTGGCAGCTGGCTGGCCGGCCCGTTGAGTGACAACAGAACCGGCGGCTGGCTGTGCTACTGTATGAACACCGGAGGCCGTTTCACAGGGAAACTTGTTTTGACAGAACTCCAGGTGTCTCATTGTTGGCTCTGGCATGGTTCAACAGATTTAGCAATTAGCACTGGGCTGAGGGCACGGGAAGGGCGGGGGCGTAGCCAGAAGGAGGAGGAGGGAATACAACAAGGGGTTGGATGGCGGGGGCGGGCTCGATGGGGGATGACAAGTTGGCTGCAGTGATGGAATGAGGAGTAAAACCTGTCATTTGACAAAACGACACGCATGTAAAATACAATAAGGAGATTATTTCGGGGGGGATGGGTCCATTTTTTTTCTTTTTTTTTTTATGACAAAGAAGTAAAAACAGCAAAATATCACAAAGATTAAAAAAAATACAATCCCTATTAGAGTTTTTTAAAATTGGGGGGTTGGATGGGAGAAACCGAAAATGAATTGCTCTCAGGAATGAAGTTTGAAACGCTCCCACTAACCATTGGACGTTTTCTCAAAGTTATCCACAAAGTAACACGTAGGCTGTTATCGCTCCCGACATGTGTGGGCCTCGTCACATTTCCGTCCCCGTGAATGACCCGCTTTGTTATTCCCAAGAGGTCTGCCCCCGCTTTTCGATGAAGTTTCAAGACGACAAGCTTTTGAGAAGAAGGTGAATGCATTTTTTTTTTTTTTTTTTTTTTTTTTTTTGCCTTTCATAAGACGCGGCAGTCTGAAGCCACGCAGACACAAACAAAGTACGCGGCGTGCACGAACAAAAGGGAGACGGGCATTATTGTGAAGAAGAAGCGAGACCGGGGCTTTGCTAACAATGCTTGTGTCAGGCTTTCAGGGAGAACAACAAACAAACCAAAACAACAAAAAAAAAAAAAACACGTGGCTTAATGTCAACGAGTGCGTCAATTGTGCCAATAAATGCTGAGCATTCGGGGTCAGGGTTCTTCTTCGGTTGTTGTGGAAGTTGCAAACTTGTAAATGCAGTGGATGCTGCATTCGAGTCATCAAGACGCCCTTTCCGCAGTTTTATTGACTTGAAAGTTGCTGTTTTGTGCGTACGTGCTCATTGAAGTCAAGGTGGCAAAACAAAAACGTATACCAAGCATTGACATTTCTTTTTTGGGGCAGTAGGGGTGGTGGGGATATTTGAATTCCCTTAAGGAACAATTTGAAGTTGTGGATGAGTACACCGTCGCAGTCAAATTTGAACGTTGTTGTGGAATGCTGAGTGATTCCCTTGAGTACATAAGCTGCCTGGAATTCTTGTTTGCAGAAGGAGAGGGGCTTTTCTTTTGAGGTTTTGCAGGGGTGGACGCGGGGTATCTGCTCAATTCTGTTTTTAGGCGTCTGGCGTCATGATCCTCCCTCCCCCCGCCCGGCCCCATCCCTCCTACTCCACCGTCACGCTGCCGGTGTACCGCAAACAATGCTTTCAGGTTGGCCGGGCCAGTCAGAACCACACTAAAGCTCCCCCCAATTTATTTGATTTTTGTTCTTCTCCACAGTTCCAAGAAAGACCCACCTGAACTCCATCCAGTTTGTTTGGCACTCGTTTTGATGTGTGTCTTGTTGCTGTGTGTAGATATCTATTTTTTTTTTCTTCTATTCTTTTTTCTAAATGCGCCATCTTCCAAGTCGGTGTCGCAGACGTTGTCGGCGTGCCAGGGTTTTGTTTTGGAAGGAATTCGATATGAGGCGTAGTTTGCTCTCAGCGTGCTTTCCTGTTCCTGTCCTGGAAGTTTTGGCCACTTGAGTGAGACGGGCGATGATGCGATCAGACGGCGTACGCATACCTGTGCAGGTGTGCACATGCTCGGCGGGTTACTCATCCTTAACCTACCGGTGTTATTGTGGCCTTGCCAAAATGAAATACAGCGTTTGCCAATGGGAGTGGCACGAGTCAAAACATTACATACGCTGGCCTAGTTGAACGCCAAATGCTTAACATGGTACTCAACTCCATTTTACTAGGAAAGAAAAAACACACCACAGCTTCCCCACATCCCCAAAATATGGAAAAATACAGAAATATGACATGAGAATGACAAAAATATCGCGAAAATGACATAGCTAGCAAAAACATGCAAGTGCGCAAAAAGTATGACAAAATTTTTATAATATGAATAAACTATATAACATAAATCATGTATAATATACAGGTAAATGTCAACAAAATAGTCCTACAACCAAATCTAAAATGATACCAACAATCTGATTTTTTTTAAAAAAGAGGAAAAAAAAGGTCAGGAAAAAAATCTAAAACGATTCAGCCTAAACAGAAATATATTTTTAAAAAAAAGTAAATTCATGAGCAAATAAAAAGTAGTTCACCAAATACTACGAAAAATGATTCCAAAGAAATGTATAACAGAAAAAAAAGATTCCACCAAAATATCTGATACAAACTGCAAAAGAAATGCAAAAATATTTCACATCAATTTTGATAACATTGTAACTCCCCCCAAAAAGTTCCAAAATTACTCTCCAAAAATATTTTTAAAAAATACAAAATTAATAGATGCAAAAAGTTGTCACAGAAATATCAGAAAACAATATCTTAGAAAAAAAATAGAAAATATTACACCTGCTCAGGTAGCGAGTTGCATTAAAATGAACAACTTGAAGATCCCGTTTGGGGGAGGAAAAACAAACCCTCGGCGGAAGGCGAGTGTGACGGGGTGAAAAGGAGAGCTGGATTTGCGAGATTAAGGGGGGATCATCATGCTTGATGGCTCAATCCTGACGGCATATCGGAGCCGATACGTCCAAACTAATAACGGCGGACCGGTGAAAGATTCCGAGAACTGCATGCCGGGGAAAGAATAAACGAGCTTGTCATGGAATCGGCGGCGCTGTCAAAGAAGCAGCCTAGCGTTCATTCATGATTAACATTACCGAAACACATTAGCGCCATATTTATTCATTCATTTGTCTTGTTAACACCCTCCCAGAGTTAGCCGAGCTGCGCTTCGGCGCTAGTTTGTGTGACAGTTGCGCCGGATATGGAAAGAAAAAGATCCGGCGTTGTGATTGGAGCTGGACAGAAGCCGCCTTTTCCTCTGCGGGCTCATTAGCGGACAGCAAATGGCGCTGATGTTGAATCGGCAGATGTTGAATCCACTCACCTCTTCAAGCTAATCTAGTTTGGATTTGTTGTGATTTGTTTTTTCTTTCTCCTTTCATTTTTTTCTCTCTCTCTCCCCCCCACCAACGGGCATTGTAATTGGAACTTTCGGCAGTGTCTCCATCTTGCGTCGGAACGTCAGACAAGTTGAGTGGCTGCCGATGCAGAAGGGGGCCGGGCTGATTGGCGTGCAGCGAGGCGTGCCTAAATCAAGCGCCGGCATGAATTGCTGCCTTGC